CTTTGTCAGGAGAACCTTCTACTTAGTTCTCCAGTGGTGAAAAGTAACAAAGCAATCCACTATTGTAAAGCAAAATTGTAAAAACAAATTTAACTGAAAGGTCACCAAGAAACGGAAACCCCTTTGACTATAAAGTTTTGAATATTGTCTGGCACTGTAACTTACTCTGAAAGAGTAAGAAAATACTATAGTTTATCTGAAGAAGAGTTATTCTCCTTTAAATTCAACTTTTGTTTTAACCCAAATAACATTTTTAAGATGACTTAAGAACACTAGAAGCCCTGGGTCCCAGCCAAGTGTATTTTCCATACAAAAAATTTGGCAGAGATGTGATGTGCAGAGAAAAACAAAATCTGTCTGTCAAAAGATCAAAATCAGTATTTTTGATTGGCAACTCAAACTGGTCCTTAAAGTCCTGGTGGGTGAACTACCAACAGCTCTAGAGAGCTTCCCTTTCCAACGGGCCGTGAAACAATTGAGTCGGTACGTCATCTTGGTGGCTTGAGCTGGGGGGACAGTTTCCATTTTCCCTGCCGAACGACTAGGTCTGAGATTCCTGCACATTGGGAGGGGAAACTTGCAACGTTCCTGCCAGTGCCAGAGCTTCAAGGTGACCTGTCTGGTTTTATCCAGCCCTCTTAAAAAAGAGGAAAAAAAAATCCGGAACAAAGTCAAGTTCTACCAAATCTTGTGAAAGTATCATTCTATTCAGAACACAGAAGAATCAGACTGACAAACCATAACAATATAAAGAATTTTTATTTGTTTATTTCTTCTTTTTTTCTTCTTTTGCTGTGTAAAGTTTCATTATTATGCTCACAGCTTTGTACCAAAGTGAAAGAAGAAAATCAATGTCAACCTGTGCACATGTTCTACACAGCTTAAATTATTAAATATTCAATTATGTTGTTTTATTCCACTTCCATTCTTCAAAAAGACTGTTAAACACTTAAGCAAAATGAAATCTGAGAAGCTGGCAGGCACATATAACAGAATATATACCTACACAGTTTGCTCTTTTACTATTACATATTTTACAAACAGTAGCTGAAACCGTTTCCTTATCCTTCCTCACATATTCTGCAACTCTGGACAACTTCTACTGTTTGAATGATAGTACCTTACAAGGCTGAAAACCAAGATTCATCTGTACCTGTGTTTTAATTCAAAAGAAGGGAAAAATATTTTCTCAACACCACATTTTTGTTTCTGGGAACCTACAGTTTATTGCGAGTTTTCAGTTATCATTTACCTTGATCTGGAATTACCGTACAGTTTGAAAGCGTGCATTCAGAACTGAACTACTTCAAACACACCGTACAGCCAAACTCCTGCTATTTTGCAGAAGTCGGCTCATGCGCTGATAACATGTTTAAAGTCTGCAATCCACACATAAGTGACACAAGGCAAGCAGAAGCTGGGATATTTAATGCAGCAGGTTTCCCTCTGACCCCTTCCACAGATAGAAGCAGCAGTGTTAGGCCATGAAGTATTTTGCACTGTCAGTATTTTTCCCTGTGATTTGAAGGAAAAAGGAGGAATGGATATAGACCAATCCTAGCATTGTCTTATCATTCAATAGACCTGAGGCTATTGAGGGTCGGGGAAGGCTAAGCTTTGCAGCACGTGTGAACTTTACGTGATCGCTTTATGCTACTCACACCCTCCTTTAGGAGCTTGGGCAGGGCTTGGTATGCCTATGGCGCAACAAGGTCTCATGCTTTCGAAAAGCATGATATAAGCTGTTTCAGTAGCGCCTGGCCCATTCTTTATATCATAAAGACCGTAACGCCTCTGAGCACTTTCTGTCCGTTGAGGAGTCTCATAGCTTAATAAGCTCAGTGTCAGTCCTGCTAAGAGAAAAACGGTGGCTTGCCCTCCAAAGGGCCTGCCATATTTAGTGAGCCATATAGCAAGTCCAGAGCTCATTGTTTAACATTTGACTAATGAAATAAACACGGCGAACCATAAAATAAACCCTCACTCTACTCACTCTTCTGCAACTTTTTACCTGCATAAAAAAAACAAACTGAAAAAAAAAAAGTCCTGAAACAGGCTGCAGATGTGCAGTACTGCTTTTAATGCAAATATTATGCTGTTAAATTTCACAAATAGTCCGCCTTCCCAAAGTTACCAATGCTCTTCAACCAGCGCTATATCAGGAGTCAAAACCCCAGGCTGCAAGACTTGAGGGGATCTCATTAATTAGCTACCAAGCCAACACATTAGTTTCCCACCCATCTTCTGCAATTGCCTCCAGAAGAAGCGAATGGCCATTAGCAAAAGCTGGACCAAATTCCAGCTGAACAAATAGGAAACCTCCCCACAGAACTCTAGGAAAGCCTGGGGATTTCCACAGCTGCACCTCAACTTCATAGCAAATCCTTTTAAGATATTCTAAGGACAAAGCAGCACAGCATTTTCCTCTGAACCCCTGAGCAATTTTTAAAATTGTTTTTAATTTATGAAGCAAAATTTTATAAACGTTCACGCAGCTCTGCTATTTTCCTGCCTTTTATCCATTTAGATTCTTACAATATCTGAAATGACCTAAAAGGAGCAAAAGACACCACTGCTAAAGCTAAAGCTGGATTTCACAAGTCCAGACCTTTCAGGAGGATTGTTTTCAATAACAGATAAGGAAGTGTCATGGACTACAAGAAAAGGAAGTCTGCTTCCACCAACTAGAAAAGATAAACCCAACAAGCAATCAGGAATGCAAATAAAGTGTAATAACTGTGTTTGTTGCAACATCTAGTGAGAAAGATCTTTACACGTTCCTGAAAACAGCTGAAGGAACGCAAAGAATCACAAGGAAGAAGTAACAAAAATCTACTCTCTCACACCATTTTTCAGAATGCTACAATCGCTCCACATGCCTTGTCCTCAGGACACATACCTCCACAGCTTCACTTCAAGCACAGTCCACAAAGGACAGCTTGAGATATTCACATTGTTTATGCCACACTTTTGCATGCTCCCTCATTGTGGTTCAAAAAAAAAACCAACAAAAAAACAAACAACCAAACAGGAAAAAACCCACTCTTGAATATTGATAATTTTGGAAATGGTTTAAGTATCATGCAGTCTTCTGCTTTTAGGTCATGAAAAAAACAAATACTCTTGGAGACTCTAGAGCAATACAGCCTGCATCAGAAAACATTTACACTGCTCAGAGATTTCCCTGAACTTGATTCTCTCTTGAATTTCTTCATCCACAGATCACAGAAAGAAAGAGAAAAAAACCAAAACCCAACCAACCAACACCTCAAACACACACCCCAAAAAACTCAAAACAAAAACCCCCTCAAAATAGCCTGGAGTCTGAGCCACATACTGGGTTTTTTTCCTGTCCGCAAACAGCTTAATAAAAAACCCAAACAAATCACCAAAAAGTATTGGAACCTCAGAAATTGCTGTGTCTTTTGAAGTAGGATGCTACTGCATCTCATTCCTATTCTACTCCTGTCCCACAAAAAATCATCAGCGTCAAGCAATTACAGAGAAATTATGCCTGTCCGCTAAGACAATACAAAAATAGTGTTCTTCAGAGAACAGAGGCCCTGAAGTTCCTTGATTGGATGGGAGATGAACATCCATGGGCTTCCCTCAATCACTTCCTTGGCCTAAAAAGGCTCTTTTATAGTCAAAGAATGAGGCTATAAAACTTATTTGGTCTATGGTTGGCATACCAAGCCTCTAAGTAGTGGTGAAATAGATGCCCAGTAAAAATAGTATATTCCATTTGTTTGAACAGCGCTGGATTCATTTATAAGCAGCTCAGTTTTGACACTGGACTGTCTTTACCTTCTGTTACAGTTTAAGGAAAGCTCAGCTTTTTTTTTTATCCTGAGCAGCAAGTTAGGCAAAAGTGAACACAAAGCTCCTTGCTAGATTAACCTCATTAAGAGAGCTCTTTGCTAAATTAGTGCTGTTATGGGAGAGAGGATCGCAAATGCAAGAAGTACACATCACTGAACTTAATGGGTAAAGTTTTCCACCGCAAGGGACACCCACAGAGGAACCCTGACAAGTAGGAACAGTCTCGCCCTCTGCACTGGCTTCTCTGTGGCACCTTCCATGCATTAGTAGAAACAAGACTTTTACATGCAATATGCATTTTTTTATCCTCGGCTTCTGCTTGAGAACTGTAAACTTTAAAATCCTTTAAAATCCTGCTTCATTCTTTCCAGCTGAGTTTTTGTGAACTTGATATAGCCCAAGCCAATTAAGCCAGTTCACAACAGAAACAAGACACTACCTAAGACAGGCAATGCCTTTGCTTTTCTCTTAGTTTGCTGTGCCATGAAGATACGGGACTGCAAAGCTCCGTCACTACGATTCCAAATAAAATCAGGAATCCAACTACGGTGTTGTATGGAGATAGCAGTGGTTATGCTGATATTTAAAACAAAAGCCGACACCACTTACTTCTTCCCTGTACATAAGGACCTATATTTAAAAAGACTAAGATCGCAAAGGACGCGAGTGAAACCACTGTTCTGGCTGGTTTGCTGCTGCTGGCATACCTCTCAAGTAGTAACTGCTTTTCTCCAAATAAACAAAATACCTCAGGAGGTATAGTATTAGGGCAGTCTGTCACTGTATATATTGTGCCAGTTATAGCAATTTTTACACAAGGAATAAAAAATAAGTTACAATTAACATTAAAAAAAAATTAATTTATTCCAGTTCTCCATAAAATACCTTTTCTTTTTATGAAGAAAGTAAAAATGTACACTGGATATTCAGCTTACGCTGTTGGAATTTGTGATATTCTGGTTTGCAGAATTTTATTAAAATCAGCTAAAAAAATTGGATACAACATAAAAACAGACATGTCTTAGACACTTAACAGACTTCAAGCTGAGTTTGCAAACACCAGCACCTATTGTCATGTAAGTTCTCAACACCCCTCTGGGCTTCCCAAAAACTCTCAGACTATGCTGCTTAAAAAAAAAACAAAACCACAGAAAAAAAACAAATAACAAAACCTCAAGGGAGACAAGAGGAGGGAATATTCTTATCTGTCAATGAATTAAAAACTTGCAAGAATTTTCCGTTTGGGCCACATATTAATTGACCAGCCTAATTTCTACAGAGTGCAACACAACCTGCAGTCTCTGTAGCACGGCATTTCAGGCCCACTCCATTTTTGCATTCCACGTGGGAAAAGAAAGAGGAAAGACTGGAGTAGGAAACTGCTATTATTTGGAATAATTCTGACGTATAAAATTACTTCCCAATGTGGGAGGTGAAAAGCTTCATGAGTCAATCCTGCTGTCATCTTCAGCATGTCTTTCTATGTGTCCTACAGCATCCTAGAAAAGAACCCAGAGAAGTCAGTTAAAAATAATAATAATAAATTAAAAAAACCCAACCCACAAAAAACATTGCAAAATATTCTTGAAGCCTCAGTGAAACTGACATTGTGGATAATATACATTTTTTGGCTTAAAGCATCTAAATAAATAAATATCAATGCCAAGCAGTTAAATCACGTATATAAAACTATCTCACATACCGCATCATTCAAGGCAAATAAACAGCTTCCCTTCTGATGAGAAGGGCCTATCAAATGAACACATCATATCCAAAGCCAGTGCTTAAAGAGAAACCAAGAATTCTAACTTCCGCTTCTTAGTTCTCAAAGAAACCTTCTTCCATTGTGTATTTTGAAAAGCATTCAACAGGAAGGTAGTTTATATTACCAAGGAGTAAAATAAAAATAAAAAAGTGGATTTTACTAACCAGTCTATAGGTAACAACCCTCCTTCCATCCACCCACCCCTTTCCACATCATTTAATCCAACTGGCACCCAACTCTTATGTCTTCTTCATTTTTTCCACATCTGTGCTAACATTTACTCAGAAATTTATGCATTATATTTAAAGATTGTTAGCAAAACCAATCACGGGTGAAAAATAAACAGCATCAGCATCCACAACAATGATGAAGGGGAAGCAATGGATAAAAATTAAGAGGATAAAAATCTGTTTCAAGACTGACAGTTGTTCAACTTAAAAATAATTTTTCCTACAAAAAAGTATATAGTTATATATATAGTATAGTTACCAAAATTTCTGCTAATATTTCAAGAATTTTACCATTTCCGTGTAATATTTTAGGATCAAACTGTTTTAAATTGAACATATCTCAAGTTATAATACTTAGCTGCACTCTTCATCTGTCACAGGTTGAACCCTATGAGCCTTGTATGACTGTAACTGTATGCAGTTAAGCTTGTCAAGACTAGAAGAACTTAACCCTTTTAAAAAGATTACCACAACTGTGGTGATATAGAGTACTGTATACTACCAAATACAACCACGCTAGTTCAATTACAGACCTGCTTGGAACCTTTCCTGGAAGTAAAGAAAGCATCACAGTTCTTCCAACGACATTTTAGGGTCTGAAAATTTGGGTTGGTGTGGTCAGTTAGCAAGTGTTGTTTCAGATGGTCCACAACTCCAAAGATCAGTGAACATCCATGCCACTGGTAGAAAAAACATGCCAGAATAAGCCAGGGAAAAAGAATTTTAGCTAATGCTTTTCTTCTTGCAACTTCACAGTATTATACCAAGACTGTTCACACACATGCCACCTCTTGTAACTTTTTAATCTTCTTATTCCATTTCCATTCTCAATGGTCTCTACTGTTTTAATTACAGCTTTACAAAGATTCTTTTCTTTCTGCCTCTAGCCAAACCTAGATCACCAGCAAAAACGGCAGAGGAAAGAGAGGAACACAGTCTTTACAAGATTTAAGCTTACCTGAGACAGTTATTGGGAATTTAAATAAACTTATTTAGCAGAGTAAATCAGCTTTTCTGTGTAACTCACCTGAAGTTTTTGGTTTTAAACAGTTACATGTCACTATCTAAAAATTGCCAGGAAAAAAAATAAGATGCTACTACCAACTTTCCCCAAAGCATACACATATACTAAACACCATGTAAAATGGAAATAGTGATATATACTTACATTTAAAATGTACATATAAATTTAAAAAATAATACTGAATTGTAATAAATTAAAGGTCAAGCTATCCAAGACTGAGTAGTAACTACCCCCAGAAAATAAGCCTAAAAACATTTTGCTCATTACCCAGCAACGATAATTCTGCATCAGATTAAGCCTCACAGCTCTAACACTGCCATCATAGCATCCAGTGTAGATCTGTAAAAAAAAAACAAAAACAAACCATTTATGGATAAGCAAGCTGGGAATAATGGGGAAAAAAAGAAACCAATTTTGAAGGAGGCTTCAGTGTAGAGTATATTAGGTGAACAGCAATAAAATATCAACATGCAAAGCTTCTAAATTTAAAAAATGGGTCTAGCCTAATTTTTTTAAGAGTTGCATTCATGGTTTACAAAAACCTACTAATGAATAAGAAATGTTTCCATACTTCTATCGTGATAGTGTCATGTGCCTAAAAGTTCAGAAAACTTTAAAATATAATGTTACTATCCACTGATAGTATACACTATTTAGGTGTAAATGTCAAGTTGAGTATATTTCCAGGACTTAACCAGTTATATGTATATCAAAAAGGGATGGGGAGGAAGGGTGAGGAGGAACATCCGTTTCAGAAAGAGAAGGCAGATGCAGATCCAGAGAAGGCAGACAAAATGGTATCTTAAAAAACACTTTTGTTAGGCAAATGCTCTACACAAAATTGTCCTTTGGAAAGAAAAGGATGTCAGACACTTGTAATCCCATAAAGAACATTCATCGTTAAAGAGAGTCCTCACATAATACAGAAAACCTGCAAGCCAAAGATTTCATTTGTTACTTTTGTTGAAGTCTTTTTGCCTCTTGGAAATTCATCACTAGGATATAACAGCCAACCTGCTGTGTGTAAGAAACTACACTTTACTACTAAGACTACTACAGAAAATTATAATCTTTTCACTCATCACTAAGCTTCTCATCTGAACACTTCTTTGATTTGAGAATGCACAAACCAGACTATTGCTGGACAGTTCAAGCCTCAGACTGTAAGCACAAAGACTGAGTGCACTTAGTGCTCCATCTTACTCCCGTGAGAAGTGAAGCTTGGGCAATATGTATTCCAATCAGTAGGAGATCAGTTCTGTTAGACCTTATTCTTCTGTTATTACAGATCATTACTATATATCTCTTATTTTACAATCTGAAAGAAAGTTTGCAAACAAATTCCTACACGTGCAGGCAAATAACTTGCTTAAAGTAGTCATTAAAAACACTTACTTGTCCAGAAGTGGTTCTGAAACCTATCTTGCAGTGCAGAAGTGTGAAAAAAATCTGTGCACCTAAATCAATTACATACCTTTGTTTAGGTTCTATCAAAGGTTATTAGAGGTTTGAACATGGGTGAAGTTTTTCTCTAGCAGCTGTGTGACTCTCAAGTAAAAGTCAAACAGGCTTGATCTTTGAAAAGAGAATATTTTACTATTTCTAGACTCTTCATTGCAATCACCACTGTAAACAGAACTATTGTTTTAAGACTACAGTAAGCTAGAATATAATTTTTCCTCAGACAACAATATTACATAAATAAAAAGCTGTTATAGAAACATGACTTTTTTGCTGAAATTTTTAAGTTGTTCTTAGTCTGACAGCAGGTTGCTTTCATTATCTGAAAAATTTAAACTCTCTTGTATATGCTTGTGGAAATTACAACCTTCTCTGAAACCAGTGAAAAGAAGGAAGTTACCATGCTCTTATGGATGGTCATACACATGATCATATCCGTGTGGCCTCCATAGACCTGCAAGCGGTCGTGCGACTTGAAAGAAACAGAAACAGACATTTAATAGCAAGACAGTTAATAGCCATTTTTCACAGACCTGCAAATGACAGTGCTTCCAAGAGCAGTTTCCTGGGTAACAACTAAACTCCTCTGGTGGATTCCAAACTTCATAGCCACCATTAAAGCTCACTTTTGCTTACATTGCTTCTGTGAGTCTTCTGTCCAACTAAACATTTGGTCTTTCAAGCAGACAGAACTAACATTTCCCCACTTTCTTGAGCTGTCATTATCTCAGGATAAACCTAAACCATTTTTTTTTTTTTTTTAGAACCTGGGTATCTTCTTTAAAACCCATGTATTTTGGCTGGTGAGACAACTATATATTCTGAGTGACCGGAAAGAGAGGGATAGCCCAGAGACCATTAAGCACAAAGATGACTTCTATTTGACTTCAAAATCGTTAATTAACACATTCTAGGCAACCACCTATTTTCTTACCTGCAATTCATAAACACGAACAAATTTATCCAGACATGCTGTCACCATCACTTTCCCAAGAATGTTCACAACCGTTACTGCATGGTTATGGCCTTTGTAGATCCGTACCAGCTCTCCAGTCTGCGTCAAGAAAAGGCAGAGACAAATAGGTGTTTGTTTTCTTTTTTAAAAACACCAAACCAAACCAGTTTTATCTAACCTAGATAGGGTAGCTAACGTCAATGCTCACTACTCAAAAAATTGAAACACTCTTTATTAGACTTCCATTTCCTGTGAGGGCACTCCTAGATTATGATCAAATATTACTTATCCTTTTCTTTGCCCAAGTTAACACAGAGCCATTCCTGTACAACTGAAATGCATGCCACTATAAAAAGCGTTTACTTTTCTTTACATCATTAGTTACATTAGTTCCCACCTATCCTACAACTAGTACTGTGCTATTAGTACTAGCAGTATTTATGTAGCCACAAGGATCAGTAAGCAAATTTAGCTACATACACAGAAATATACAATATTTTTGTCAATTAAAGTTTACCTCTGGTAAGTTTCTTAATCTAACTTGTTGCATTGCTACATGAATGCTTCTGCTAGCACAGGGGAAAGACGGTGTAAAAGAGGAAGAGAGTGAAATGCTAGAGACAAAGCATTTCACAACAGGATAACAGCTTTTGAACCAGCTAATAGGAATGCTGTGTGTGTTCCTCAAGTTTTTCCTGTAATAAAGAAAGTCTTCCCCAACCAGAATATCTCACATGGCTTTACTCTGAACCCTTCCCACATTATCAGCACATTTGTGGTAATATTTGCAAAAGCAAGATCCCCAGATAAAAAGGCATTGCACATCATATTACAAGATGATTATGAGTTTATGTTTCCCAAGGTATTTTATCCTCTGTATCCCTCCTTAGTTAGCTATAGTGCATAATCACATTGACAAAATCATATGACTTCCTTTTCTCAAAGCTATTCTGCCCCAACAGTTGGTGAAAAATTCTGCAAATACTGACTTTATAGCACAGGAATTCATTGCCTTAATAGCAAAAGTCATTCCAACTTTATATATGAGACTTACGTGAATGTTGTGGGCATGGACAGACTGATCACTGGAGCCACTGAATACCAGATCATTCACAACCTTACAGAAAGAAAAAGAAAAAAAAAGAAAAAAGAGAGAACAGTTTTATTTTTGTAACAAATTTGGAATTGGGCAAGCAAAACGTTACAACCCAGTTTAAAGTTGCACTGTAATATTTCCTAAATTTGACAGTCTTAAAATCAACAGCAAGTATGAAAAAAAACCAAAACAAAACAACCATGCACTGAGCTCTTTACACAAGAGCTAGAAAGTGTACTATGCTATCCTAATGACTTTTGATACTTCACAATTGACTTTAGAAGCAGTTAACTTGCAGCGCACCAGGCTAACTCATCCTACCTACAGACAGCAGCAGATCATGGACCAAGCAAACTGAATGCAGAAAAACATGTTGTTTCCTGGAAATACTGGATGTGCTGTGCACTTACATTCTGGTCACGTAAGAAAGACAGTGCTCCTGACAAGTACTAACCTAGAAAGGAAGCTTAACATATCCATCATGGATCAAGAAGGGACCGCAGTATGCTGCCACGCAAACAGGACTAGGATAGTCCACAGGGCAAAAAGTTTGTGCCACTGCAACATAATACATAAATTGTATTTGTCTCTTTAGATAAGTCATCCCCTATCTGTTACATGATAGTGGTCACAGCAAAGCAGTCAGATGAGCATATGTTCCAACTTGTTTTCTGAGGAGCTAGAAACCTGTAAATAAGTGGCAGTGACTCTTCTATTAAAAAAGAAGAATACTCCTCTAGGAGTTACATTTTTTTCCAGTTTTCTCTGAGGTTTGTACAATCAGCGTACGTGAAAACCAGCTTCATCTTTTTCCCAACACTCCCTCTGTTGGCAACTCACATTTCAAGATTCCCTGAATTTTCTAACAGCATGAAATAAACATGCTTCCTACATACACACCTCCAATAGTTTTGCTGGGAACATGAGATATGGCAGCCAGCCAGAGACAATTTTCCTGGCTGCAAATTACTCAGTTTTTATCACTTAAAAATGTATAATTCCTCTATTTCCTACCACAATTTGCTTGCTATTAGATGAGAAAGAAAAAGGAAAAAAAACCCACACCGTTTTAAGCATTCTTTGTCAAAACTGTATTTTCAGAGACACCTGCCTTCATGCAGAGTATAGTCTTGCTGTGACCTTCCAGGGTTCTGAGAAGTAGTCCGTTCCTTGCATCTCGCACGCTGATGGTACAGTCGTAGGAGCCCACTACCAACAACTTGCGTGCTCCTTCCTGAGCTGTGGCTAGACAGCTCACTGCTCTAGGGCCATGGCATTCAAAGGTATCAACCTGCTTGTTGTTCTGTTGGGGGAAGAAAAAATGGTATTTAAGAATTAAAACTTTGCTATGACACTGACTGGAGTCCTATGTCACTGAGTCCTTTTTGTGTTGTACTTGTTATAGCATCTGATTTCAGTTTAGTAACACACCATTTCAGCAGTGGTAAGAGTTGCATCTTAACAACTAAGTTTCCAAATCAAGGAAATCAAATCAAGCCCCTCATGTTGGGCTTCATATTTAGCAAAGGTCTAGTAAATCCTCCTTCTGAGTTAGAACAATGAAAGGAAATAGTTTTATGAAAAAAATGCAAAACAGAATAAATTTGTAAGGATATATTTGAGAAATTGGTCCAGGATCCATGAAAAGAATAATCAGAAAAATAATTTATTTAAATAATTATTTTTAGTCACTTTTAAATATCATGGGAACTGCTGATCAAGCCTCTGCCAGAAAACCACGTGAATGAGTCTCTTCTATAGCTGCAACGGAGCAGGCAAAACCAGCAGACTTCCACAAAGTCTCTCACACTACTTTGATGAGCAAGAAAGGAGGATTCACAAATAATCAACCGTGTCAGAAAACTCCCATGGCGCGTGACTCATAGGCCAGGTAGAACCTTAAGGAAAAATGTGACCATACAGCAGTTAGGAGAAAAATAACTGGAGAGAAGGGGAGATGGGGCAGCTTCAAGCGCTGACAAAATAAAGGACCCAAATGGGCTAACAGTGACCATTTACACCAAAATACTTTAATTACAAATACATTTACTACTCAAGAGAAAGAATGTAAAGAAACACAAAGTGGAGAGAAATAACATCACAATAGGTTTTTAGGTGCCAACATTTAAACAAACTAACCTTTATGCTGAAAGTAACCACACTGCCATTTGCAAGGCCTGCATAAAGGATCCGCCATCTACTGTGTAAACAGAGCACTCGATCTTCCAATTTAAACTGTTCCATGCGCTCTCTGGTCTGGGAGTAGAAAGAAGTAATTAAAGCTCTTCATTAACTGAAACAATTCAGGGAAAAAAGCCTGACGTGAAAGATGTTTTTCACCTACAAGCTGCATTTTTTGAACCAACAGCTGGAGAAAAACATGTGAGAGTCTGGTGTCACATGCCAGTTAGATCCTCATTTTAATAAGCTCATTCTCATCGCTGAGAGAGAATGAGTACTTCAGCAACCAGTTGTAACCCTAAAAATCTTTATTCTAGTCACAACCTCTAATGTATATAGAAGTTTAAACTACAGACTATGTATATAGTTTTTCATATACACAAAAACTCCTGCTAAATTCTTGAGTTTGAGGAATCCCCATGAAGTTCCCCACAGGGAAGTGCCATGAATCATCACCTTAAGAGTTAAAAGCCTCGGCAGTTTGTCCCCTGAAGCCGATACTTGCTTTCTAGTCTTTCAAGCCACAGGTTGGACAAGCCTTTCTATCATTTCTCCTTAAAAGTCCAGCTTCAGGAAGTCTCAGTCTGCTCTTCTACCTGCCCTCAGAATAATAGATACCTATTCTTTCTACAGCTGCTCTATGAAGAGAGCAGTGCCTTCCATAAGCAATGAAGTTACAAATACAGCAAGATAAATACGATATTCATAGCCAGATAACCATCCTGCACTTTGGTGTTCCCAACACTTGGGATCTCAACATGCTGTTCTGGCAAAAACTCTGCTGGCAAGCTAGCCAAAAGATAAAGGTAGTAAACCACCTAATGGTTTACTGTTTGTTTTTTTCCTGCTCCATGCTAATGAGGTATGATGTGGGGCTGATGGACAGCTCATATGGGTTTAAAAGGCTTTTTTCATTTACATTTGCGAAGAAACACACCCATAAAAATGCAGTACGTGTTAATCAACACAGAGTTTGAGTACCTTGATATTGTAACAGTTGATAGTGTGGTCGCTTGAGCCAGTGTAGAGTGCAGCATTCTTCCCATTCGTCTGAGTGACCAGGAGGCAGTTCACTTTTGAAGTATGTCCTTCAAAGATGGCCACACACTTCCTGCTCTAAAAAGGAAAGTATAGGGTCTGTCAACATAAAGGCCCATAATGCCTCTCGGGATTGGCACCTGACAGAGTAGGGTAGGGCAGCTAACAAAAGCAGGACACACGCAACAATCTGTCTCCCCCTTACCCTACTCATATAGAGAAGGGGTTGGAGGAGAGGGAGAAGAGAGGTTGAAGAAAAGAATAGCATAAAAAAATTAGGAGCTTAGAAAGGCAGCTGCTTCCTTAACTACATAGTAAGGCTTTACAAGAACAGAATTGCAAACTTGTGACTACAGTAAATGTAACACCATTCCCACAACGTTACTTACAACCAGATTGTAGGCACACACAGTTTTGTCTGCTGAGCAGGTATACAACAAATTCCCAAAAATCTGAATAGCATTCACTGCAGCCAGGTGTCCCTCAAAGTTTCCCTCTGTAGGTTCTTCATCCTCACCTGGCTCTGAAGACACTTCTGTAGAATAGACACACGTACTTTGATTATGTGAACACACTCAAGCAAACATGCTACTGTTGTTTGTATTACCAAACAGCTGAACTATTTCGTGGGCTCAGCACCTTAAAGTCAGATTTCATTGTGGGTCCCAGCTGAAGCCTGTAAGTGGCAGAAGGCACTCCAGACTTAACTCAAAGTCCTGCAAGATACTATACACAAAGTATCAGAAGAAAAACTTAAAAGATATACCTGATGAGTTCTTTGATCCTCTTAGTGATGATATGGAAGTCTGTGTCTCAGCCACACTGTAACACAGAAATAAAAAGTAGTGAGATTGGGCTTTGCATGTTCATTTTCAGACAAAATACTAGTGTAAGTCATACTTCAGAATACAAGACTCTGCACGTAGTAGAAAATAAGCTGTGACAGATAAGCTCAAAAACAAACTTTCCATGGAGGGTAGCCTTGTTCTTGTACTACAGTAATTAGTAGGTAACAAGACACATTCATTTGTTGGACCAAAAAAGCAAATTCAATTTTCATTTTTCCAATTATTTCAATCCTGAATGAAATTAAAAGTTACTGATGTTGTAAGACTTTCTGAATAGGGGGAAAAAAAAAAAAGAAAGAAAAGAAAAAGAGGCCTCTTATGAATATTGTATAATTCTTTTACCTTTGAGAGATCTATAATAACCTCACCTTCTTTTCCTATCATCCCTATAATTTGTGCCAATCTCACTGGTAGAGCTCACTTCATCATAACCAGAGCAAGATGCCTCTAGGACTGCTTGATCGACAGAGCTGCGTGAATCCCTCTTTGATGGACTGTCTGGTTTTTCATCTCCCGACTCTGATGAACCAACGTCAACAACCTCACACTGGGGTGCTGGAACTTCCACTAGTTCCAGAGAAGCATCACTGTCATTCTCATCTTTGTTTCTTGCCGTTTGAGCACTAGCACCATCCTCCTGTCTTGGAGGAGTGGATGTAGTAACCTTTTCTCCTTTAGGAACCTTTCCACCCTTGACTTTCCGGACAGGCTTAGAGTCAATGATATCCTGTTCTGTATCACTGTTCTCTGGCACGTGGGCTGCCCTCAGAGTTTTCTTCTTCCTTAACTTTCTCCTCCTCCTGTTCCCTTTCTCTGCTGGGACTACAGTGGTTGCCACTTGTTGCTCGGATGGTTCTGCTGACAATTTGGGGGTTTTATCCATCGGCATTTCTAGAAGGACTGAGCGCTTTGGCAGAGAAGCACTACACTGATCCAGTAAAAAGCTTTCAGTAACTGTGTCATTTGCTTCTCTCTTGCTGAAAACAGATGGTGAATGAGGAGAAGGGTTCTCGGGAAGTCCAGCCTTTCCCCTGTCCACAGCAGGCTTGTGAACATCTTGATTAGCATGTTGAAAACAAGCTGCCAGCTCTGATAGGGATATGGTTGCAGAGATAACTGGATACACTGAAGTTTTCTGGTTGGTCTCTTCTGAAGAAAACAGACCAGTGTTATATTCAATCTGTACAGCAATAAATATTTATGCAAAATTGCTTTCCCTGCATTTTTCTGTTAATTCTCAATTGTGCATGGAAAGTACATATTCCTACATGTTGAAAGCCACGTGCACATCCAGATCTGCTATTTCAGTCAGCTATCCAGCCTTTAAAAAACATAGCTGGGGAATAAAATGTTTACCTGTGTACCCAGAAGCAAAGGAATGGGACACGTCATTCAAGTTGCTGGCTGACTGTATGTTTTTAAAAGTTGGGACAACCAACCTTTGGTGAATCCTACACTGTTGGTTTAAGATGCTACCACCCTTCACTGTGCGCTCCCTTACCAGCTGTCACCACTGCTGTAGGACTGGTATTAACCAATGCATGCCTGATACATTTCAGCTGGTCAGTGACACAGTTTGAAGACCTTATGCTTAACTCATCTATATTAATTATTTCTACCAAGTTACTTGGACCTAATTCAAGGTATACAAGTCATGCACAACCCACTCTGCAGCATCATACCTTCTATCCTGGGAATGGCAGCACTGTAAGCCATCAGGGTAAGCTTTGTTAGTTCATCTGTGGTGGACTATGCAGTGGGGACTCTCCCTGTCATTTTAATTGGAAGCTAAATGAACAAATGAATCCAACCTCTCAACGGAGACAGGCTAAGAGCACAGGCAGCATCTCACAGCTGCTCTTCCCACACCCTAAAATTCCCTGGTTGCATTTGCAATAACTGCAATCCAGAACAGGATGTTTCAAGTTCACTGCATTTATTGGGTGGGATCCCTCAATGCAAATGGGAAGCTGGCAGTATTTGAAACACTTCCCTGCTTCAGTCTGTTAGAAACCAGCAAATTAAACCTACAGCAACGCTTAGTCAAAGCTGTTGGAGTGTTTAACACATCACAGTACAAATTTGATGCTTTGGAATTACGCATCCAACTGGAGACAGCTTAAATGTGAAGATCTTTCCCCACCCCTTCCTCAGATGGAAAGTTCCAAGATAAAACTAGAACTTGCTGACAATGTAGGGTATATCATATTTAAAGTAAATCAATGCAAAACTGGTTTTCCCCTGACCCATAACTGTCATACATAGCTGCAACCTTTTAGAAAACCCTCTGTACAGAAGAAATTAATGCTTAAACAAGGTCTGAACAGTTACTGTGTTGAATTATACTGGGAAGAAGGCAAACAAAACCTTCAATTTTGAATACACCTCTAACATTTTGCATCCCTCCTTTCCCATAGCAAGGGGTAGGGAATGAACTCGGTCACTTAAAAACAAAACAAACAGGAAAATAAGAGTAACCGGCAACTTAAACTGAAATTTCTAAACCCAAAAGTTATTAATTCTCACCACTTAGAGTACTACAGGTGTTAGAAAAGGAAGTAGAAAATCACCATGGTAGTGCAAGAAAACAGAATCACTCAGTTCTGCAGGTGGGAGAGATTGCTGGTAGTTAGGGGAAACCAAATGCAATCAGCTCCTTCAAAGCAAGGCTGAGCTGACCTCCTGGGGAAGCTGACAAGCCAGATGTTCCAACCCCCAGAAAGCAGGTAGAGAGAATTCCTCTCCCCCAAATTACAGAATTTACCTGACAGTAGATGCTTATTTTCCCCTTAAATTACCAAATCAATTTGATGGCAGACACTCATTTTAAATGTAGCACATATAGAAGTTGATCAATACAAAAACCACATTATTTTGACAAATATCAAAAGAACATTCTTGCTTTCAAGATATAAAAAATAAGTTTGTAGGAAACTGACAAGTATGCTAATGTGATTAAGACATTTTAAAAGTAATTATTTAAGTAATAAATACAGCTATACATTGAAGCTTCATCTTTATGAGAAAAAATTTTAAAATCTCTTCAGTTTCTGTTTTGCCTGCACAGACATCAATAAGGCCTGAAGATTCTGCAAACAAGACGCTTCATGCCACTAGAGCTAGTGATCACTAAATCTTTATTCTGAATTTCCCAGCTCTAATATTAAAGAAAAATTACACCTCTCTTCATTGATATTTAAACATAACAGAATGGCATATACCAGTAAAAAATGGGAAAGCAAAAGAAAGGTAGTGGCTACCTACAAGCTGAGTCTTAACAATGAAAACAAACACAAAAGCTGATTCTTTTCCGCCACTGCATTTACTTTAGTGTGCACTCCCAGAGCTCCATCACCCCCATCAAATCCTCCAAAAAGAGACAAAGCAAAATTCACAGTACTACATTAAGGTAATGTAACACAGTGGAATACAGGAAATGCAATAGTGACTAAAAAAGCACAAAGACTATTGATACAGAATTCTACATCTGAAGCAAACTGGAAAAAGGAAGAAAAACCTTCAAATTCTTGTTTTCACAGAAGTCTAAGCTTTAATTCAGCCAACACTTATCTTATGCTTGACAAAAAAAAAAGTGCTTATAAAAGTAGAACAACATGGCTTTTTCCAATAGTATCTTCCACTTCAGTTGAAAGGGGGAAGAAAAAAAAAAAAAGTGTTGACTATATTTACCTTTAACAAGGATCTTACTTATGAATCTTTATCTCAAATTATTTAAGTTAAGGGTTTGGGCAAGCGACATTATTATGGCTGACAAATGACTGTCATTAGAGTCACCCTACTTGACTTCACAGGCTTTTAGGAAAGTAAAGGATGACTGAGCTTTTAATCTTCAATTTGTACCTTCAGTCACAGTAGCAAGTTGCAGTGGAAAATACCAATAGCATTTGAACCTTTGACCACAGACTACAGTACATGACTTCCAGGGGTTTTAAACTGTCTAAATAAAGAGTTAGCAATTGCAGTTATAGCCATTAAGATCTCATTTTTTCTGAAGCAGTAGCTCCCACATTAGTAGTTCCGTTAATTCAACAGTTTATCCTCCAGACAAAAGTGAACACACACTTCTATGATAGCCCTCCCCTACTTACTCCCACTCCCCTCACATGAGTGAGCAGTGCCTAACATCCTTCTTACAGTAAATTGTTTACGGAAATCACAAATAAGATCGCACAAACTTTGAATGAGCATCTCCAGCCCAGTGGGATTTAGAGACAGAAAGGGGGAGAAGATGGATTGTTATTATTAATATCACAAGTTATACTCTTTGTGCTTATCCAGCAGGGCCCAAGAACACCACAGAATACTCTTTATGTAGTTGGTCATAATTTTTTGAAAAAAAGATCTTCGGGCATGCATTTTTCCTGTGTAGGCAGATTTTCAGCTACCAGTGCCCATTCAGTGATGCAGAGTAGGAGATAAAAATTACAGGGCAGGTTTTAAGGTTTGGTTTGTTTAGACTTTTTTATTAACTAAATTATTCTAAAAGGATGTAACCTTCAAATTCATATTTCTTCTATTTTTAAAGTAAAACTAGAAACCTGTAGGTACATATGACTACAATTTGCATGTGCTTTTTATTTAATTTTTAAAATGTGGAATCCATTTGGATGTGTTTTAAAGAAGACTATGAAGCTGCTAAAGTCCTACACAAGTTAATGGGAGTTCACCCCTGTACAACAGGCTGCAGTTTGAGACCCAACTTACATTCTTCTGGGAAAAAAAATATTTTCCTTATTTTCTTAAAGCTAGTTCTCTTAAAACAAAGAGAAGCCACACATACCATCCTTCTGCTCCACTTCTTCTGCTCGTGAAGCACATGGAGAGCTCTGGAGTACAGAGTTCACATTTTCTTCTGAGCCTTTTGGAGACACAGGTTCTCGTTTAACTTGTACTGAGGAGTCAGGAGGAGCAGCAGGTGTGATGCCAGAAGACTGGAATGGTGATGGCAAAGTGTCTAAAAGGGGCAGGAAGGAGCCTGCAGGAATTAAGTCAGTTGCCATCTGAGATTTGCTATTTCTTCTCTCATTTAAGACACTGCAGGAAAGTTGCTCTGATAGTTCAGAAGGTTCATATGTTTCTAATGGCAGAAGAGGAAAGACCAAAAAACACCACAAACAACAACAAAAAAAAGAACAAAAATGTTCATATTTTACTATAAAATTTAGTGGTGCCAAGGGCTCATTTCTCGTGGACACAGACAAGGAAGAGAAAAATCTGTAAAAAAGCCACTAGATGGCACTACCAAAGATGACAGATCACACTTGAACAATGAGACTTCAACATTAAAAGCCTGCAATTTTATTGTACATTTTAAATGAGCGAATTCAAGTTAAATGCAATTTTTGCAAGATCCTGAGTTCAAAGAATATGACAGTCAGCATTCCACTGTTGTAACTTTATGGTATCTCATACCTTGTAGCCCCTGCAAGATCTGGATTCTCTGACTTCTCAATGTACTCATTTCCATGGTGATCTGCAAAATAGTTGTAGTTTAAATCAGTCCTACTTAAGGCAGTTTTTCAGGCTGCTAACTTCCAGTTCAGACAGTTTCAAAAGCCCACTGTTACCTGTTGCTTTAATACAAGGAACCGTTGAACCTCAACATACGCAGCCTGCAGGGCAGCCCTAGCCTGCAAGAGACTGCTGTCCACACTATGCAGGGACTTGTTTAACTCTTCTTCCCTCAGCGAAATAGCCAGCAACTGGTCTACCTGAGAACGTTCTGAAGAAGAAACAAAATGTAGAGTATAATTGTACTTGACAATACATTAAAATACATTACACGTGATATCTCAGTAAATACTTCCACTTCAGAACATAAAAATCACATAAATTAGGTCAAGCATCAATAGTCATACAAGAAGTATGACAAGAAGTCATACATACAGAAAGAGTATTCCTCTTCACAGAGTCTCAACCTTGACTCTAGTAAGTATTTCCATAGCTTTGCCAGCACTGATTTAGTTTAGTTGAACAAACATTCGCTTCAAGATCTCTTCTTGAAGTACATGAAGTACAAATACACACTTTCCATTAATGTAATCAAAAAGGCAAATTGAAGCTAAACAAGATTTAAATTACTCAGTTAATCCAGAAGCCAATGAAAGGCTTAAGAGAAAAAGAACCCAATGACAAAAAACCATTTACTATCCAGGATGATTTTGGGCTGTGAGACTCATGTTTGCAATCTCTTGAGAAAGAGCCTCTGGGCACTGTACTCAGTAGAAGATCCTCCTGTACTACTTTCTAAAGTCTTCTGGCATTCCAGAGATTCGCCAAGCAAATTAAGTTTCAGTTTGAGCACTGCTTACTTTCATTCAGGTTATAGTTCCCTTTAGTAGATTTACTACAACAATGATGATGCTGAAGCAAAGTAATGGGAAAGTAAGTTTTTACTAAGTCGAATGTGTTATTAGACTCCATAGTAGGCACTAGTCATTGAAAACAGAGGCTGATAAATCCCCTCCACACTTTTTAAGTAGTGAAATATTAGTTCCCACAGGAAGATCCACATTAATTGCCCTGCATTCCAAACAACTCTTACTATAAATTAATATAAATAAAAAAAAGAGAAATGGAACATTTGAAATCTATCTTCTGGACCCAATTTAGTTTCCACAGAAAACATTTTGCCTAAAACACAGATGGTTCATTTTGAACTGCGGTGATATGGATGTGTTAGGCATGTTTGAGAAAGACCTGCCTAATGCCAGAACAAGTGTTTTCTTTGGTCAGGAGCAGGAAGGAGTGAGGCATTCCACATTCATTTCCATTAAGAACAGGGAAGAGGTAGTTAAAAAAAAAAAAAAAAAAAAAAGAGATGTCAAAACCAAAACACAGTCCAAGTTATGCAGAATGCAAGTTTTCTGATTGGACAAGCCAGAATTTGAAAGGGAAAGCTGCACGGCTGAATTAGAAGGCAGTGATGGGTGCTTCTCCCTTCAGAACTTCCATCCAAAGAGGCAACAAATCTCTATTCCTTGAGCAGGGGAAAGCAAAGGTCCCAACTGTGCAACAGGGAACATGAACTGCAGGCAGAAAGGAGGCACAAAGCCTCACCTAGAAATAACTTCTGACAAATTAAGATGGGACTCTTCAGAGAAGAATATGTTGCAGACTTGAGAGCAGTCCACCCTACGATCTTCAGTAAGAGCCCAAGAAGCACCAAAATAACACCAAGAAATTACCATTTAGCCAAGTCAAAATACTACTAGGTATTTATAACCTCTATACCAGATGCACATATGTGTGATATTGACTCACCTTTTTTACCTTTGATTTTTCTTCTCTTATTCTTTCTTTCTAGACTAGGGATTTCAGGAGAAGATCCCTCCTGCAAGTAAAATCATTTATTAACAAAAGTTACAAGAGCAATTTTGCCTAAAACTAAGAAGTCAAGCATCCACTGTCTTTTCAACTATTACTTGTATTCACAGAGAAGAATATACAATTAATTTTGCACATTCTCGTATAACTCAGCCTTCCCTCCGCCCTTAAGAGAGGGCAAAGTGACTACCATGTTTTCATCTCAACTAGGAAGAAATACTAAATAAGCTGACAGCCTCCTACTTGCTCAAATGTTTAAGACCACACTTGGGTCACATTTTCTGTTCTACAGTTTTAGTTGAAGGTCTACACAATTAAATAGTGAGGAATAACAACTATCACTTTCTGCATACAACAAAACCATTTTGAGGATTTTGATCAGAAACTTTTCCCCCCCTTTGCATAAATACAAGACAGGACAGTGAAACAAACTGAGATTTAAGGATATCATTTTAAGTATACAATTCTGTAAAAAAAGGTTGTCTTTCCTTGCTTGATCATGAAACCAGGAACATCTAAGGAAATCAGATTTCTACTACAGCCTACTTTCCATTTAAGTTTTGAAACACCAAGATCCTTGCTACAACACCAAGTACTTCCACAGAAATATTTTAATTGCTCTTGTTTGCCAGTATAGCATGCCAGTTACCAAATAAAAATTAAAGAGCATTTGCTGTTCCTACTAATAAAAAAAGATTAAGCAGAAGTCCTGCACTAGGAATCACAGAACAGTAGGGGTTGGAAGGGACCTCTGGAGATCATCTAGCCCAACCTCCCCTGCTAAAGCAGGATGCACAGGATTGTGTCCAGGGAGGTTTTGAATATCTCCAAAACCACCTCCACAACCTCTCTGGACAGCCTGTTCCAGTGCTCTGTCACCCTCAGAGTAAAGAAGTTTTCCCTCACATTCAGGTGGAACTTCCTGTGTTCTACTTAGTGCCCATTGCCCCTTGTCCTGTCACTGGGCACCAATGAAAAGAGTCTGGCCTCATCCTCTTGACATCCAGCCTTTAGATATTTGTAAGTATTGATGAGATCCCCTCTCAGTCGTCTTCTCTTCTCCAGACTAAACAGACCCAGCTCTCCTAATCAGTACCCTAATCATCCTCGTAGCCCTCAACTGGACTCTCTCCAGTAGTTCCCCGTCTTTCTGGAACTTGAGTGCCCAGAACTGGACACAATACTCCAGATGTGGCCTCACCAGGGCAAAGTAGAGGGGGAGGACAACCTCCCTTGATGTGCTGGTGTGTTGGGTTTGAGTGGCAAGGTTTTGGTA